GGGATCTCTGGTATCAAAGTCAAAGCCCAACCCCGAGGCACTGCAGGAGAGCAGCTCTTGGCTACCTGGCAGCTTGCGCCAAGCCATGGAGGGGATGCTGGGCACCGCATCTTGCCACCGTGGCACCCACCAGCTGCTCTGTGCCAGGGGGCTGTTGGGGGATGGGGGCAGATGGGGGGACCTCCGTGCTTCCTCCCCCGTAAATCCTCCTGGATTGCAGAATCTTGGCGCTCTTTCCCCTCCCGCCACCCCGCACAGGGCCTCGGGGCTGAAATGCAGTTGATGAAAGCGCTCGTGCAGATCAACTCGACAGAGCTTGTCTGTCTGACGTGGGGAGGGATCGCTGCAGGCAGGGGTAGAGGAGGGCTCCTTCCTGGCCACGTTTGAACCACGCTGGCCTTGGCATCTGCTTAGAGCCCGCCTTGCTGGCGGGAGCCTTGTTTCGCTCTGCTCACACCTGTGTCTTGTGTGTCTCCTTATTTTTCTCCCTCCTCTCTCCATTAGCTGCTGCTAGAAGAATACGCGAACAGCGACCCCAAACTGGCACTTACAGGCATCCCCATCGTCCAGTGGCCCAAGAGAGATAAGGTAGGAGCTGCAAGGAGGGGACCTGGCTGGGTGTCGTGTGTGGTTGAGGTGGTGACCTGCTCTGACAAGAGTGCGGTGGCATCACTTCCATACCCGAGTCAGCGGGCAGCAAGGGAGCAGTGCAGAGGCAGGCTGTGGGGCGCAGCCACCCCCGCAGCACCTCAGGCAAACCCATTTGCTGGCAGTGGTGGAGGTCTCCCACTGTGCCAGTAACCCCAGCTCAGCCGATGAGCAGTAACGGGGACAGCCCCAGCTGCTCCATGTTCTCCAGCCCCTCAGTCATGCTCAGAGGAGATGGAGCTGTGCCCTTGGTAGGATCTGTAAAGAGCTCTCCCAGCAGCTCTCCAGCTTGACAAGAGGGTCCTGGCTGGTATGAGCAGTGTTGGATGTCAGGGGAATGTGGTGTTACTGTGTTCCCAAAGAAACGAAAGGAACACTGCCCATGCTGTAGTGTTGGTTCTTGCAACCCCAAGGCAGGCAGCTGCCTTCTGGGGATCTCTACCTGCAGACAGCTGCCAGCTTCTCGGGAAAGAGGCCTTTTAGTGTGCCCCTGCCTTTTATAGCTGTGCTCGTAACCCAGGGCCCAAAGCTGGGCCACGGCAGAGGCTGAGCTTGCTGGGTGGCTGGAGGCAAAGAGCAGGCTGTTGCTGGCCGGACTTCCCCTCCGCAGGCCGCCTTCCCACAGCCTGCCAGGATGGCCCCCGTAGGTCACTGCTTCCTTCCTGCCGGGAGACAGGCTCACGGACAGGCATATGGGAAGAGCAGGACCCCAGCACTGTGGGAAGGGCGGGTAACATCCAGTCTGGGTGTTTGGAGACAAACAAGCCTCTTGGATTGCCCTTTGGAGAGGTGCCTGTCTCTTCCAGGATCCAGCATCCTTCAGCAGCGCGAGCATCTCAAGCAGCTTTTCTGGAAGAAGAGTCCTGGAGATGTTTGCATGCTTTGGATGCAGCACTCAAATGTTTGGCACATCCACACCCCCTGTCTTTGTGCTGAGTTTTTTGGGTGCCTGCACTTCCCCAAGCCCATCAGCTGTGGTGCACACACCATCACGGCCCATCCCAGAGGGATGCTGCAGCCACCATTATTCACTGTGAGGGCTTGAGAGCTCTGCTGTCCCACCTGCACTGTAAACGGGTGCTTGGGTATTCCCAGAGCTTGTGGGAAAGAATGAGCAGAGCACTCACATCAGAGCTGAGCCCTGTCCCTTTGCACAGCTGGCAGAGGGACCTGGGTGGCACAGAGAGAGGACAGTCCTGGCTGCCCGGGTGGCCTTTGGCATTCCTTGCCTCCGAAGGAAAGATTGGCTGCTGTTGGTGCTCTGCAATGTTTTTAGGACTCAGCAGCCCTTTTCTGCCCATTTCTGGCAGGGGTTGTGGGGGGGTGGGATGGGAACGACACACGGATGGATGGGTGCAGGAAAGGGTTCTTGGTGTGGGATGGCGAAGGCTGAGCAAGGTGCTGATGCAGGCTCTGTTGTCTGCAGAGAGGTGAGGGCGTGGGGCTGCTCTCCATCCTCTGAGGTCGTAGCGAGGGAGCCAGGATCACAGACTTCCTGATCCAGGCTGTGTGCGACACCTCACTCCTCTCACACCACTTCTCTATTTCTGTTCCCAGCTAAAGCTCCAGGCCCGGCTGAGGGTTCGCCTGCCCACCATCCCCATTACCAAGCCACACACCATGAAGCCAGCCCCCCGTCCGACACCGGTCAGGCCTACGGTCTCTCCCATCGTGTCAGGCGCCAGGCGGAGGCGGGTGCGGTGCCGAAAATGCAAGGCTTGCATGCAGGGCGAGTGTGGCATGTGCCACTATTGCAGGGACATGAAGAAGTTTGGCGGGCCTGGCCGCATGAAGCAGTCCTGCGTCCTCCGGCAGTGCTTAGCGGTGAGTCTGCAGCCCCATCCTTTTCTCAGAAGCCTGCTGCAGCCTGGCAGCAGCTCTCTGTGGCCAAGCAGGGCCAGAGGGAGGAGAGCAGTGATTAAGTTCGATTCCTGGGGGACAGTTGGCCACTTACCCCTTGTTCAGGTGGTGGGAGATATTAAAAAGAAAGGGGGAAGGCTGTCTCGCCTTGCCCTGCTTTCACTCCTGCTTTCCTTTGTAGCCCAGGCTGCCTCACTCGGTCACGTGTGCACTTTGTGGGGAGGTGGATCAGAATGAGGACTCGCAGGACTTTGAGAAGAAGCTCATGGAGTGCTGCATCTGCAACGAGATTGTTCACCCTGGCTGCCTGCAGGTGAGCACCACAGGCCTGGGACGGGGGTGAGGGGGCTTGGCTGTGAGGAACGACTGTTGCTGACTGCCTGCTTCTCTTTGCAGATGGATGGGGAAGGGCTGCTCAATGATGAGCTCCCAAACTGCTGGGAATGCCCCAAATGCTACCAGGGTGACGACACAGAGAAGGGCCAGGTAAGAGGCAAACTGTGCTGTGGCAGAGCAGGACACACATCCTCCATCCAGCTGCATCCTGCTAGGGGATAATCAGTGTTCAACGAGGCTGTGCTGTACGGGTGAGCTGGAGGGCAGGCAGTCACCAGTACAATCCAGAAGACCAGTTGGACAGCGACTGGTGAGAGCAGGGCTCATTGGGGGTGCAGGGCAGCAGTACTTGGGGGCCTGGCAGCATCCTGCCAGCAGGCACTGCTGCAGTCCGGTCCTGGGACCCTGCAGCGGTGTGAGGTGACAGCCCTCTGCTCTCTGTCCCCGGCTCCCAAGGAGGAGCCTGTCAGGAGGCCAAGGCCAGGCTCCTGCAGAAGCGGCAGAGGCAGCCGGGTTCCTCTGCCGGGTGGCATGTGGCAGCAGCTGACACTGGTGGCTGCCACCGCTGCCCAGGACACTGCCCTACAGCTGCTGCATCGCCTGTGCAACCGTGCCCGCTGCTCTGGATGGAAGTGTGGCAGCTAAGGTGGGGAGCAGCCTCCCTGGGGCACCTTCACCTTCTCCTGGGAGGTGTGCATGTTTGGGGTGCACATCTGCCTAGTTCCTCGGTCCTCCAGCTCTTCAAGCAGACGTGATCAGCACCCCTTGTCCCCACAGTGTCTTGTGCTGAGCTGCGACCCTAAGAGTTTTTACTGCAAGAGGCAAGGGACGTTAGGCACAGAGTGGAAGCCACCCCCAACCTTGGTGATCACCCCTTTTGTGAACAGGGAAGGAAAACATTGGTTGCTGGTGTGGGTAGACTCTGCTCCTGGTGGTACTGGGCACTGCTGGTGCAGGCCCTGCCAGCACCATGGTGTTGCCCTGGGGAAGAGGAGGACGGGGATACATTTCCTAGCCCACGGTGGCTCCATCCCTGCTAACCTGCCGCCCCACTTCCCCGCAGAAGCGGAAGGTGGAGGAGAGCGACGACGACACGGCACAAGCCAAGGTGCTGCGTCCCCTGCGGAGCTGCGAGGAGCCCCTCACCCCCCCGCCCAACTCGCCCACCCCCATGCTGCAGCTGATCCACGACCCAGCGTCGCCGCGAGGCATGGTGACGCGCTCGTCCCCGGGAG